TCTGCCTAGCTTTTCTGCGGAGCGAGTTTTTAGAAGATGCTGTGAAACTTTCCAGCTATCACGTTTTGGTCTAGGTAATGGAACTGCGTTGAACACTGGCAGTCGAGAATATTCTTGAAGGGGCATGGGAGAAAAAATGCAGCAAGCCACACCTTTTTTTTTTGCTCAAAGATGTTTGAGGTTTTTTCTAATCCAGTTAGTTTTTATGAAGTTCGGATATTATTTTAGATGAGAATATAAAGTCATTTTATTACTTTAGTTGTTTTGTGTTTCACTTTTTCATTTCGTGACCTAGTGTCGTCAAGATGTTTCGCATTTTATAGCAAACTTTTGTAGCAGATGATATACATTATTGGTGCTAAGCGTTCAATCGCCTCAATAATAAGTCATATATTCACATGAATTTCTCATTTATTATATCGAGAAGAAAGAGTGCTCATTTAAAAAGTATTGTGGAAATCAAAGTGATACTATGGAAATCAACTTCAGTCAATAGGCAATCTGTGGTCGCCTACTAGACCACCTGCTACTATCGCTGCAAGAAGGGTGAATAGAGCAGCTACCACTGCTATCCAGTATGCGTAACCCAAATATGTGTCAGCGACTAGCTCGTAAGACAACGAAGTCATGTATGCTGCAAATCAAGTCGATAAATTTTCTTTCCGTTGCTCAAGCACCTTATACTTACCAACTTTACTCTTGTAACGAACACCATATACTAGAATTGCAATGAAAAGACAGAAGAACGCTAGGGCGCAGATGCTTGCTGTTGGGATTCCGAGACGTAATCTCGGGGAGAATAGAGCGAAAAAACATCCTAAATTCGGTTAAGGTGTGTTGTGCCGTCGAGACATTACGTATAGCAAAATCTGTCTGATAGCTTAACTTACCTACTGCCACTGCTTGTAGTATACAGGCAATGATGACCAGAGCAAGTGCAACTTTTTCATGTGAAGCTTTAGACTAAAATTAAGCGCTCATCATCTGCTTGGGAGCTTTAATACCTCTAGCATTATGAATTCCAACTTACGCCACTCCATTTAGAGCACTCCCAATCAGGAATTTTTCGATTACCGTCACCGCATTGGTACGACACCAAACCAAAGTCGGGGGCACCATCTCCCTGAATTTTTTTTCCGATAGTTTATTAAGAAAGAAAATATTTACGCTTACATTACAACATCGTAGGCAAATTTGCAGTGCACTTGATATTCACATTCTGTGGTGAATTTACATGGATATATCTTCGCCTACCTTATAACTTCTCCATCCGGGTGTAAATAGAGCAATCAATGTAAGGATAAACGCAAATATGATGATAACACCAAATCCAACTCGCATTTTTTTTGCCATATTGTTGTGCCACCACTGAAATTGATTGAAAGGTCTTTACTTGGATTTTCCGTCTTCAGTGTAGCTCCACGTTAGAAACCATAAAATCCCTAAAATCTCTTTTTCTTCTTTACCGATCGCTGCTCACAGTTGTATCTTTTTCACTATACTGTAAAGACAGGGATTTAGTGCTATTTTTT